TTCCCAGTTGCATACCCACAAGGATGAGCAAAGCAGCACAGAAACAACTAAGGATGGCCCCTCTCTTCCATTTCAACATCCACATAATTCCTTCTCCACCAGTTCTTCAGCCTTATCCCACTCTCTCCCCAAGTTCCTGCCGATGCATCCTTCCCTCTCCCACAGCTCCCACTCTCCCAGTCCTGCAGTAATGAGCAAACAGGCAGAAGAAACCAGGCAAGGCCCTTCTCAGCATCCTGGTTTTCATTTCAGAGGGGCCGTGGACGCTCCACATGAAATGGGATCGAGGGGAGGAGGTGCACGTGCTCCCCTGAGCCAGCTCTTCTGTCCCGCTCCCTCAGTGGCCACAATGGACCTTCCTGCCCAGGCCCGTTCCTGTCCAGCTCCTCCAACACTCTCTGGACAAGCTGGGGGAGCATGGGGGGGCTCGGGGCCCTCTCCCCATTGGAAAATGTCCGGGGACAGCCACCTCCAGGAGCCGCATCCTCCTGCTGGTCCTGCTGCCGCCGCTGCCGCCAGCGCACCACGAAGGGATGGAGGCGGCGGCGGCGGCGAGGTGGGGCCACCTCGGCAGGGGTGTCCTGCCCCTGCAGCAGGCGGATGGACCCGATGGGCCCTTGGCAGATCGGGCAGGTGGCAGCGGTGTCGGGGGCAGCCTGGGGCTGGATGCAGGCGTGGCAGAACACGTGTCCGCAGGGCTCCACGGCAGCGGGGCTCTGCAGGAAATTCACACAGATGTGGCAGACCCTGACGGGACGTGGCGCTGGTGGCTCTTGCCTGACCTCTGCCATTGCTGCTCCCGGACTTGACTCCTTCAGCTGCTGGCAGGACTCGAAGGCTCGGCTTCCACTTGTGCCACTCTGAGGTTCCTCAACCTCTTGTGGGACCCAGAGGCTCCTCAGTCACTGGCACCACTTGTGGACTCCTCAGTCACTGGTGTCCTGGTGTTATTCAAAGGTTCTTCTGTCACTGGCAGCACTCAGAAGCTCCTCGGCTTCTGGGTGAAGTGTGAGTGCTGGGGCACTGCCCAACCCTGCTGTTTGTAGTTACCCACTGCAAGTGAGTGATCATGATTCTGGTGACATCCCAGGGCACACCCAGGAGCTCCCCCACGCACACAGGCAGATCCTGTGGCACAAAGCCCACCTGGCAGTGGCTGCACACCTCAGTGTTTGCCCAGCTCCCTTCCAGGCAGTCCCTGCTGGGGTGAGGCTCTGCCAGTCACACTCGCCAGGACCTGCTCTGCAGAGCTTTTCCATGGCGTGTCCTGGTGCCTGGGGACAGGATCCTGCACAGCCCTTGGTTTAACTTCAGGAGGTTCTGTTGGCCTGTTTCTCCAGCCTAGCAAGGTCCCTGAGGCTGCAGTATCATCTTCAGGTGTCTCAGCCATTCTGTAGAAAACTGGGACTAATTTTCTTGGTTTGGTTTCTAAACTTTGTTTTTATATTTCATATTTTTGGTGTTTCAATAGCAGTGGAAATCCAGGGAATGAGGGGTTGAGGACCTCCTGTTTCTGTATTTTGCAAAACTTAGTGTTTCATGTCTAACTGATCCTGTGGGGCAGCCAGTGGGAGAGTGATGAAATCTGGGATCCTCCCCAAGGACTGTGTGCTTGCAGAAGCACTGCTGCTGAAATCACAGAGCCATGTTTAGTTGGGAGAATAACGTAAGAGGGACTGGGAAAAGCTTTCTATTTCTGTTCTGAAGGGTGCTCAGGGAGCAGATTTCTCCTCACAGCTGGAGAGCTCACAGAGCAGTAATGGAGGCCAGGAGGAATTAGTCAATGAACACCCCAGGGAGAGAAGGAATGACCCACACACCCCATATCTGCACTGGCTGCAGACCCAGTCCCACTGGGTGGGCCCCACTCTTTGCCAAAGTCCTGTGAAGCAGGAGCTCAAAAGTCACATGAAAAGCAGGGAGCAGAGGGGCATTGCCACTTCATTTCTGCAGCAGTACCCAGGCAAAAAGCTGCAGAAATGGGGCTGTTGGGTGCTTAATGCTGCCACCTCCCTATTTCTCCCTGGAGATGGATGAATGCCAGGTTTTGTAGGAGACTGACATTGCAGGATTAATAAAACACAGCAATCATTCTGCTATTGAAAATATGAGTATAAAACTTTCGAAGGGCAGAAAATCTGCCAGAGCTGTAAATCCTAATCCTGAGTTCTAAGGAAATACTTGATGCCTATATAACTTAGATCAAAGTTACAAAGTGCTTATATAGCTTAAGTTATAAGACATCCATGGATATAACATATCCAAACCTGATATATCTATGTAACCTGATATTAATACAACCTAAATAATGACTTTTTATATATCTAAATAACCTGATACCTATATAACCTGAATCATAGCTTTTTATACCTATGTATACCTATGTAAATAACTTTTTATACAATGTAATGGCTAGTATCTAGTTAACTAGTTGCTTAAGGCTGAATAGACAAAAAAAAGAAAGAAAGAAAGAAACCTCACCAGGAGGACAGCTTTAGAAATAGATAAGTATAGTACTAATGGAAAATTGGCAAGTGCAAAGCCAATTAGCCTCAAAACAAATAATTTAGGCCAGTTAAGACAAGACAGACCACGGAACACTGTAACTGCACATGGTCTGAAGAAAAAATTGAAAAGTTCACATGCAAAGAACTGAACTTTTCAACTGGAAGCCTTCATCAAAGACCCCCGATGACCCCCGAAATAGGGAGGAGCAAGAGCAGTGCAAAAGAACTATTTAATAACCATGAGCTCATACTATGTAAATTAGTTCCAGTGCATATGTGATGATGTTATAATGACATAGTAACACTAAGCAATACTTACTGTGTAAATACACCATAGCATTTGACAAATGTGGGTGAGTTAGGTGGAGAAATCCACCTCACCACCAGTGCTGCAATAAATAAATACCTGTTCTATAGACACTGGTCTGTGGGAATGTATTTCCAGTCTAGTTTTTGGGCATCATATGCAGCCACTCTTCTGAGAATCTTAAAGCTTGTTTTGGTAATCTATTTCTCTTTTGAACTGTACTGTAAAAATCGCCTATGTCAACAAATCTATTAAAACAGGGAGTGAAAGTTGGTGTCAAGTTTTAGAGAAAGAAAAGACAAAAGAACAGCCCATGGTAAGCACCAGTCCCATGTGATTAGTACTGGAGGCTGCTGAGGCCATAAACACAAAAACATCACTACACACTCTCTGAGGCCATAGACACACAAAAACATGCCACTACACAAGCTCTGCTTGCCTTAAATCTAGACAAGAAAAAAATAACTTGGAATTTTTTCCACTGCCCAACCCTGTTGCTTTGGGTTTTTCGCTACACTTTAACCCAGACCCCATGTCCACCCACATCCCCAGGGCTCTCACCACCGGATTTTGCTGCACTTTGCTTGGCACCCTGGGTGTGCCCGCCTCTGCTGTTCCAGCTGCCGGTGTGAGGTTCCTGCTACAGCCCATGTTGCTTTTCAGAGGGTTACCAGGACCGGCTGTGGCCCGTCAGTTTGCAAAGAAAAACCTTTTTTTTTCTCCCTCTGTCCCCTCATCAGAGCCGCCATTGCCGTGTGGAGCCGAGCCCGCGCCATAGCGCCCCCTGCAGGCGTGGAGGAATCATCGCACCCACCCTGCCCGGCCGGGAGCCAGCAGCGCCCCTGGTGGCTCTGCCCGGAACTGCACTAAGGGGAAAATGCCTGCAGCAGAGAGAGGCTGGGGCTGGGTCCCTGCTTCTGCTTGGTGCTGCTGCTGCTCTTTGTTTGCCTTGTTTTATATATACATATATATATATATATATATATATATATATATATATATATATATATATGTCTTGGGTTGCAATGCAGGATGTGACCAAAAGTGTGTGCTCTATCACCATCTGTTAAAACCAGATGTTGCAGTGTTCTTTATCTTTCCCACAACCCATCCTTCCTCCAGGAGATCTCTCCTGTTAATGGGCCATGGAGTCCCAGTGCATGACTGATAAAATTCCATCATCCCATTGGGAGATGCTCCACCCAGGGGGAGGAGCCAAGCATTTCCTACCCAGATTAAATCTGAGATTTGGAACATCAGAACAAGTTTGTTCCACTGGATTCCAGAGGAAAATCAGACCCTTCTACATCATCATTGGACCTTCGGAGGAGAACTCCACCCTTCTACAGGAACACTGCTCCAACAGAACCACATCTATCCCTGCAGGAGGATGCAGCCACCATTTGATGGGACTGCTGCCAACATCCTGACTGACTGACTGACTGTCAGGTTGTATTCTGACTCTGTCAGTATTTTGTTGGTTTGTATTACTGTATTTTTATTTTAATTTTCCTAGTAAAGAACCATTATTCCTATTCCCATATCCTTGCCTGAGAGCTCCTTAATTTCAAAATTATAATTTGGAGGGAGGAGGTTTACATTTTTCTATTTCATGAGAAGCTCTTGCCTTCCTTAGCAGATACCTGTCTTTCAAACCAAGACAATATACATATGTATTTCTTTTCCTATATCTTTGCCCGAAAGCCCTGTAATTTCAAAATTATAGTAATTTGGAGGGTTCACACCTTCCTTGGCAGACACCTGTCTTTTAAACCAAGACAACGTGGAATGGTGACTTGGGAAGACAAACAGCATCACTCCACACATCTCCATCTTCTTCCTTCTTCACCTTCTCACAGAAGCCACCTCTGTGACCCCGTGGCTACCAAAAACTGGGCCATGTAAAACCAACACATTAATGAACTGCAGAAGTAGGTCTGCAGCGCAGGCATCCACAAGTCCCAAGGGGAAGGAGTTCAGCTTGCTTTCTGTCACAACAGAACTTCAGACTCCGAGACTTTCTGGTGAAAACAACCTTCAGTTGTCCTTGGTGGCTTCAGCAGCAGTCTTGGCTCACTTGCCAGAGCTCAGCATCCTATACTTGACTGACATAAATCTTACACGTATTCTGCCCTGATGCCTGTGAAGATTCACGTCCTCAGGGAGACCAGGATATTACCAAAGCCATGAAAGTACAGGGACAAGTCTGGCAATTGCTGCTACTGCCAGTACCACTGCATGGCCAGAGCCTCCTCCCACCAGGGAAAATTCTGTTCACACCTGTAGAGAAGCAGGTCATTTGCTGGTCAGACTTTTAGAGAAGTATCTTCAGGCTTCTCCCTTCCTGTTCCACCTACACAATGGATGTGAAAAAAGATCACAGGAACCTGCCACCAAATGGAGTAAAATGACTTCTGGGCATCAGGACGAGGAGATCTCTGCTCAGAGACCATTAGTTGTGGGCAAAAAGCACTCTGTGTGGGCTACAAAAGAAAGACAAGTGTGTGTCTGGGGACACTCGGGCAAGGAGGTTGGCATCAGTGTGAAGGTGCACTTGTGAAGGCCATGGGGTGTCAGAATAAAGAGAAAATACAACGGTGTGTGTCCACAGGGGTGAGAGGGAGAGGAAAGAAAAGAGACAACTCCAAAGTGCTGTCTGGTGAAATGTGTCGTGTTCCAGAGGACAATGAAACTTTGCAGAGGTAGGGACAGAGTATTTTACCGGCTCAAGCATCCTTCTGAGGTCAAAATTGAATTTGTTACTTTGTATTATCTTCTTCCAGGGTTGCAACTATGCACTGCAGATATTCCAGGCTCTTTGAGAATCATGACAGCTCTTCCCGTCCTGTAATGGCCTGCTGGGTATTCAGAGAGGAAATTATGTGAGCTGGTTAGAAGGGTGTTAGAAACAACACCTCAGGGAGCGTGACTGGACCAGGAATGGCCAGTCCTAAGCCACTTCTCCTCCAAGAGACACCAAGGGGGGCAGTGCCAGGAAAGAAGGGGCACCCGGGGTGGGGAGTGACGGGACAAGAGGCAAGAAGTGGGGACAAGAGGCATCGTGGGATGGGTGAGACTGGATGAGACACGGGGACTCAGCGTGGAGGAACGAAGAGGCACCGGGAGGGAGTTGTTGGTGAGAGGAATGACAGATATGTCTTTACAAACAAGCTGTGGGTCTGCTGGTAGATAAGACTAGCACTGAGAGATAAAAAAAACAATGGGATGGATTCCTCTGATCGATGAATGGAGAAAGATATTTGCCTTTACAAACAAACTGTAGGTTTGCTGATAAATTAACTGGATATTGCAAGATGAAAGAAAAAATGAGGAAAAACCATGAATTCTATAAGAATTAAAAATTAAAAGGGAGGGTTGTATATTAGAGGGGAATCTTAGGTATCAGGCGTTCTGGGAAGTCTCTACCTCTCAAGTACCTCAGCCAATGGGGAAAGAGAGAGGGAAATGCAGCTGGGAAATTAGGATAAAAGAGAGGGAGACTTCGTCCTCGAGAAATTTGAGAGATCCCAGGGGAATGCCCTATGGCCACTCCCTTTATTCGAATAAAGCGAAAAGGACTCCTCTGTCTCCTTTTCGGACATAAACCTCTGATGTTTGTAGATTAATTTTCCTGACATCGGTAAGGAAGTGGGTTAAACAGGGAGGTCCCGAGCCCAGCGGAGCTGCCGGGGCCTACCGGTACCTCCCGAGGCCGCGGCCGCTCTGGCAGCGGCACCGGGGCCGCCCCGAGGCGTCGCCAGGGCCGCGCCCCGGGTTTGTTGTAGCAACGGCCGCGATGGCGGCGCGGCCGCCCCTGCCCGACTCGGTGCTGGTGCAGGTCCTGGCGCTGCTGCCGCTGCGGGACAGGCTGCGAGCGGCCAGGTAGGGTCTCCCCGGGCGGGACCGGCCGCCTGCCGCTCCCCCGGCCCGGCGCTGACGGCGATCGCCTCCCCGCAGGGTGTGCCGGCGGTGGCAGCAGCTGGCGCAGGACAGAGCGGTCTGGACACATGTGGACTTGAGCCCTCACCGGGTACGGGCCGCCCGTCCGCACCGTGGGCCGGGGGCGGACAGAGTCCCGCTGTGGGCAGGAGGGATGGATGGAAGCTGACACTGGGGGGGGTCAGATCACCCCGCCGCAGGCAGAAGCGGAGGGGAATGGGGGGGAACCGCCCCACTGGGACAGGGGTGCCCTTCCCCACCTCATTCCCCTGGAACCAGGCTCTCTCACCCCCCAGATCAGCCGCCGCACGCTGTGGCACCTGGTGCGCCACCGCCTCCCCGACAGCCTGTGCACCCTGCGGATGAGGGGCGCGCCTCGCTCGGGCGGCAAGCAGCGGCTCCTCTCACCGGCACTGCTGGCTGCCCTTCGGAAGCGCTGTCCCCAGCTCCATCGGCTGTGCCTGACCGAGACTGACCTCCGCCACGTCCCGTACGACAGCATGCCCGCTTCTGTCACCACACTGGAGCTGAGCCTCTGCGACATCCCCGATGCTTGGTTCTGCGTCTCCCCTTCGGCGCCACCACCACAGGTACAACACCTCGCTATCCACAGCATTCCCACCTTTTCTGACCATCATCTTCTTGACATTTCCTCACAGAACCGCTTGAAGACACTGAGCCTTTGTGGCACCTACCGCATCACTGATATGGGGATCCAAGCAGCAGCTCCACACCTGGAAGAGCTCGAACGCCTGATTCTACGGCACTGCATCATTGGTGATGCTGCCATGGTGTTCATCGGGCGCCACATGAAGCAGCTCCGCCACCTGGAGATCAGCAATGCCTACTTCCTGACGAACAGGGGGCTGGTTGCTATCGTGACACTGGAGCACCTGGAGACCCTGTGCCTTGACCTCTATGATTTGGTCTCCCTTGGTACTGTTATCGCTTTGTTGCAAGTGCTGCCTCGCCTGAACCACCTCAAGCTAGGTGGAACTTGCTTTGAAGATGAACTCCTCGATAAAATTCAGGAGAATTTTCCACATTGCACCATATCTCACACTCCATGACAGCCTGAAGTGCTATCCTTCCTCAGTACAACTGAAGTGCTCTCTTTTTTTTTTTTTTTTTTTTTTTTTTGTAAAACCTGTACATAGCTTTGGGACAGAATTCCCATTGGCCTTAAAATATTACTTTTTTTTCATATAAGTAAGTTAAAGAGCTTGTCATGTCTCGTTGACATGCTTTTGTAGGATTCCCCCCTCCTTGTTTTCCATGGAACAGAGGAATAGGAAACTGGAAGCGCACCCACTCTTTGGGAACCCCACTGACCAAAAACTGGCCGGGGTGATGACAAGTTTAAGCTCTGTCTTCTCCTCTTTCTCCACTGCTGAGGATTGGACAGCAGCTTAATGAGTGCAGAATTCAAGGAGTGAAGTGAGGCACCCTTCTGTCACAGAAAAAACAGACCCAGCAGCCAAAACCTCACCATTACCAATTCCTTCAAATTCAGATCTCCAAGTCACTTGTCAGACTGGTCATGAAGATTCCTGGTCCCAAGAGCCAGACATCCCTTTTGCCCCCAGGCATTGTTGAGGCTGCCGTTACCTCTGGGTTTTGCTGGTAACCTCTGCCTTTTCTCATCATCTTCTATTGTCTGCATTCACATCCTCTTCCTCCCCTATCCCCCAATATCCTAACACCAGATAATCACCTAAATGTTATGTTCTTCTTAATTTTTAGTCTATATTTTAAAGCAAATATTGTATTTATTTTTAAAAACTTGCAAGCTTTTAACTTTCATTTGAACCCTTGTTTTTAGGACTTGGTTATTTTTTTTTTTTAACCTGCTTCAGCATCTCTCCTGCCCCTTAGGACAGCCTTCCTTGTGACAAGAACATCAGAACACAGGAAACAGAGCAGGACAACTAATGCCTCAGTTGAGCCTTTTCTGCCCTGTTTTCATCCCAAACACCCCCTGCCCTCCATTCAGCTGCAGCATATCCAATAAACTTTTGAATTTCAGACGGTCCTGGATGGCAGTGATCTTCCCTGTAGTGAAATCCTCACTGCTGTCAGGTGGCCTTTATGCCCTTGCCTCTTTTTTCTTCCTAAACCCAATCTCAGGGTAGCTTCAGGGCAAATATCCAAAGGTAAAATGTTCCAGCTCTGCTTTGGAAAGCAACCCAAGGCTGCTAACTTTGTAACGACCACTCCCTAATTATCCCAGACGAGGAGATTGACACTGGTGGAATCACCCTTATTTAAACCTCCAGCATTCCTTGTTCCAGCACTCTCTGGGATGGGGAGGGACAGTACAACAGGAAAAGGGAAAATCAAAAACAGTAAAAATCCATCAGTCAGTCAAGGCACAGTGAAATGCAGCAAGAACCTTAATGTTCTCCTGATCTTTGCAAGCAGGATCTTTGCAATCCTGATGGCACAGCAACAATTTAATATCCCCACAGTCACCACATGCCAGTTTTCCATTAACTAACTGCTAAACAGGGAACAGCAATTACATATTTATGTGGTGCAAAGCAGAACGTTTTAGGTTTGCAAGCAGGAGGGGAGCTGTAAATACTGGGTGACTATGGGCAAATTAGGAGAATAAACAACTGAAAGGTCTTTAATCAGCAGTTCTGGTTCTGCTCACCATCCCCACATACCTGCTTGAAGCTCTTTGGAGAGCTGTTCTTGGCCTTTTTTTCTTCTGATTTCCAAATTCAAGGGGTTTCTACTCAGTTCATCTCCATTTCATCTTTTGCTGACTTGTTTCTTCCCCCAACCCCACCTTCTTGTTGTCTATCATCATTATATCAAAGCCCAAATGTTTTTACAAATACGTAATAAATGTCCAACAGAGACACCTAAACCTTCAGCAAAGCCAGGTCACAAAACTGGTCTTAGCATCCTGAGAGGAGCAGCAGTCCACAGCCCTCCAAGTGAATAGAAAACTTAGAGAAACCACAAAATTTGGGGTTATCAATCATTGCAGGGAGTGACCAAGCTCCTGATTTGCCTGTTCACACACCATCTTACTCACATGTACCATGATTTCATACATGTACGTCTTTCATATTCATATCCAGGTGTTTTATCAGACCCAAATCCATCTTATTTTCTCGGACAAGTGCATATGCTCGTGCCTTCTGTGGTAATTTCCAAAATATCTTCCAGACGGTGCCTTCAGTACCTCGGTACCTTTAGTCTTTGAGCAATCAGCAGTGCCATTCAAGTTTGCCTTCTGACTCTGAGAGACTGAGGATTCCGATGGTACCCAGAGTGAAAGTGCTGACAGCAGGGTGTGTGGCTGCAGCTCCATGGGTGCAGTGGCAGTTCTGGCCAGCAGACGCTTTTGTGAGCTACACTTTTGCCAATGGTTTTCAAGTTTGTAGCTGGACTCCATGAGAGAAAAAAAAAATATTAGCACAGAGGAGTTCGTTTTGCGTGTGGTGCAAATAGGAGTTTGTTCTTGGGAGGGGAAGGTCAGTGAAATCTTTCTGTCCTGACAGTTTATTTGAGAGCAGCGACGTTTTGAACTTGGATTTACATTTTGGGTGGTTTAGAGCTAGACAAGGTGCATTCCCTTCTTTTGCAAGTACACACCGCCATCGCGTGGTGTTTTTTGTGAGCGCTGACAGTGCCCAGGTAAAAGTCACGCTCTTTCTGTCCTGGCACACTTAGGGTGGGAGCAGTTGGTTGGGGATCCTGAATCTTCGAGGCTGAAAGAATGTGATCCTGCATATATAGCTGGGAAGGAAGACGAATCGTCTCACTGTTGGCTGGGCAGTTTACAGGCTGCAAAAGAAAAGCGAATTCCAGCATGGCCTCTTTCTTCTCTAGAACCTTTTCTGGGGGACCAACTGCTGAATGTTCTCAGTTTTGTAACTACTCTGTCAGATTGCAAGGGGAAAGGGAAGGCCAGTGCTTACTTATTTTTTGGAACCTACAGTAGGAGAAACATTGCTAGATATGTTAAGTTTTGAAGCTGGGTTTTGGAGAGTGAAAGAATGTGATGGTTCATGCAGCTGAACAGGAAAATTCATGACTCCAAGGTGTGGTTGCTTTTCACAGCAACCTGGCTGTGAAGGATGGCCCTTTTCCACAGGAAGGAAAGCCTGGCATCTCGGTGTCTGCGGGGCAGCTGAGAGGCCAAGGCCACCCAGACCTGTCTGTCCTGGCAGTTTTTGTTTGGGAGCAATCCTTGGACATCCATAGTTTTAGGAGGTAAAATCCTATTTTCAACCACAGGTGCCTGGCCAAGAAGGAAAGCTCGGAGCACCAATGTCTTGGGGGCAGCTGAGAGGCTTCCCTTGGGAGACCAAGGCCAGTCAGGCCTGGCAGCTTTCACCTGGGAGCAATCCTAGGATGTTCTGAGTTTTAGAAGGCAGAATCCAAAATATGGCCAGAGGTGCCTGGCTGCAAAGGACGGCTCTTTTCCACAGGAAGGAAAGCCTGGAGCCCCAGTGTCTCAGGGCAGCTGAGAGGCATACCCATGGCCCTGCCTGTAATCACTGTGGGAGGCTGACCCTGCTCCTCATCACTCTTGGCCCTGCCTATCAATCACTCCGAGTGGATGGCTCCACATCTCAATTACTTAGTACCACCCATCAATCACTTCTAGTCCTGCCTGTCAATCACTGACAGGCTTATCCAAAGCTTATAGCCCTTCATAGCCGACACAGCCCTCAGGTACCCCGCAGCCCTGGACAGCCCACACAGCCCTCACAGCGCCGAACCCTCGCAGTCTCCACAGCCTTCCCAGCCCTCACTGATCTCCTTGCTCCTATAGACCCCTCAGTTATCCAGTCTCTTAGAGCGCCCATAACCCTCACAAGCCCCACATGGTCAGTCTTATCACTCCTCAGCTATCATAGTCCTCACAGATCTCCTATAGCTCCCTCAGAGCCCTGACAAACCCCGCAGAACCCCCACACTGCCTGTCTCATCCCTCCTCAGCTATCACAGCCCTCACAGCCCCCGCGCACGCGCTCTGCGCCTCACTCTACCGTGCGCATGCGCGCCCCTCTCCCCGGCCCGTGGCCGCCTGTTCTGCCGTGCCCCGGATGTGGCCCCTGCCCGGGAAAATGGCGGCGCCGGGGTGGGCGGAGGGAGCGTGGTAGCGCCCGGTGGCCTCCCCGCCATGGCGGACCTGGGCCGGCAGCTGCACGAGTACCTCGCGCAGTCCAAGGCTGCTGCTGCTGCCACCGGCCCCAGCGCGGTCCCCGCACCGCCGGCCGCTGGCAGCTCGCAGGAGGAGGCGGGGGACGGCGGCGGGCTGCGGGCCTGGCTGGGGGCGCTGAACCCGTTCCCGCCGGGTACTCCCCCAGGCGCCACGGTGTGGCCTTGGACGGGAGAGGAGGACCCGTGGCTGCCGGGGCTGTCGCGCTGGCAGCGGCTGGCGGGCAGCGGGCTGTGCGTGCTTCTGGCCGCGCTGTGCTTCGGGCTGGCCGCGCTGTGCGTGCCGCTGCTGCTGCTGCGCGCCCGCAAGTTCGCGCTGCTCTGGTCGCTGGGCTCGCTGTGCGCGCTGGGCGCCGCCGCGCTGCTGCGCGGGCCCGCCCGGCTGCTGCGGGAGCCCGGCCGCGGGGCGCTGCTGTACCTCGGGGCGCTGTTCGGGACGCTGTACGCCGCGCTGGGGCTGCGCAGCACCGCGCTGACAGCGCTGGGCGCCGCCGCGCAGCTCGGTATCGCCGCCGCCGCGCTCCTGGCCGCGCTGCCCGGCGGTGCCGCCGGCCTGCGCCGCCTCGCCGGGCTGCTCCGCGCCGCCGTGTGCGGCCGAGGCAAGGCTCTGCCGCTGTGAGCCCGGCTCTGCGGCCGCAGCGGGGAAAGAGCGGGAGTCCCTCGCACACGGACGCAGAACCAGCCGACTCCGAGACGGGGGACGCCGCTTCTCTTGGCTTCCTCCGCATCCTGTCACGTTTTCCTCGCCATGGCTCGAGGAGCGGCAACGGGGCTGGCAGAGCGGCGCCGGTGACTCGGAGCTGGAGGTGCTCTGTGCGGTGTCACCCTCCCCCGAGCTCGTCGTTTGCCTTACCGCGCTGTCAGCTCCGTAGCCATGGCTTGGCATCGCTCCACCTCTGGGGGGGAGCTGGCAGCATCACTTCTACCTCCAGCGTGGGACCATGTGGCTGCTGCAGCGGCTGCTGCAGGCAGACCGAGATCGGAGCCGATGCGGTGTCATGATGGACTTGATGAGCAGATGAGGTGCGCAAGGCTGACGGATGCCGAAACCCGAAGATGATTTAGCAAAATGCGATCGAGTCTGGGAGAGAACATTGAAAAACTAACTGGTATTGCCTCATTTTGTGCTGACCCCTACACTATGAACATACTGTTTTTGCTGTCACCTCAGACCAGTGGTGAATAGAAGACTGGCCACTGAACTGCATTTCTCTCTAAAAAGCAGCTTTAAAATAACCATCCAGTAAGTGAAACAAACTTTCCTGGGGCTGTGGGTCACAAACACTGCCCGTAACTGTAAGGGGAGGGAGCGTTCCTGCATGATGATGAGAGGATGCAAAGTGCTGACGTTAGTTAAGAGCACTGGCGTTTGCAGGTACTGCTGTAAGGGACCAAAGTGGGCTTTAAAAGGGTAGCTTCAGCTCTTAGAACTTTATTTTTGTGTATATATGTTGCTCTCTGAACTTGGGCAGGAGTTGCTTACTTGTCACAGCCTGACCTTCAAAAATAGATTTGCCAGTAACTGGAGCTCTGCTTCAGTGCAGAAACGGAGCTGCCTTAGGAGGGTGCTGAGTTCAGGCTGACACAGCTGGGTGCTCCAGTTTGGTCCCGTGTACTGGACCTCTGCAAGGAGATGGGACAACGGGACCTCCCCTGCACACAGCCCACCCACCCCCCAGTGAGTATCTCACTGAGCATTTGTGCCTCATGGAGAAAATAAAGCCATTGCAATACTTACCTGCTATCACTGTTTAGTTTTAACATATTCACCAAATACTTTCCTGAATTAAACTGAAATTGTTAAAGGGGGTACTTAAGTGTACGTAGATTGCTTTAATAAAACTATTTGTGTCCAGTTGTCAGTATAGACATTTCATTCATGGTCACTTTTTTACTTAAGAATGTAGATCAGAACTATCAGAATAGCATTAAATTAGCTCTCTTGTTTTTACAATTTCTAAGTTACAGTATATAAAATCAATTTTATTCCTAACAGCAGTGAAAAATTTGAGACAACCTCTGAACTAACAGGTTCATCAGAGTCTGTGTGCAGCACTGGTAAAAGAACATGACCTGAGGAATACAGAAGTATATTCCCATTAAATAACTGTGCACATTGCCCAGCAATAGTGGGTCATGGTATCACAGACTGGGAAGTTGCTTCTCTGTGCTGTCTCTTCTGCTGTGCTGTTACCTTGTAAGATTTTGTAGAAAATATATCTAATTATCAAATTTTCTTAGGACTTTTTGAGCATATGATTGTGAAATACTTCAAAACTCCATTTAAAAAGCTACCCCTTGAATAGTATTACTTAATGCTACCATAATAGTTTAAGGAATTAACCAATCATCAGAGGAAATATAAGTTGTCTAGGTAAAGCTGGGTTTTCTCTTGTTAGGGACACTTTAGTTTGTTTTGGTGGGGGACTGTGGTTTAATTAAAGCCTACAGCTCATCCTCTAACTCATATATTCTGAGTATTTTACCTCTTTTAGCCCCTTAAACATATATAGGGCTTACTAAATAATAAAAAAAAAAGATGGCAAGCTTTCCTCTTTGCCAATGATTAAATAATTTGTATTTATTATGAAAACTTTAGGACAAATCCTAACTCCCAGACATACACTCAAAGTGCCCAAAGTCCTTCAGATAGAGCTAAAAACCATTTTTTCTCAAGGAACCAACTGTCATATCAGAGGCATCTCAGCTGTTTCTAGTTCATTCCTTTAAGACTGTTTTGTCTCTCCTGAGGACCATGACAAAGATTTTATAGGCTAACGATCAGTTACAATTTTCAAATGTCATTTTACACACCACAAATTAAAAATCAGGTTTAAAAAAAGGTACTTGTGGCTGACTGAACCAAGAGAACAACAGTTAAACATTTGTGCTTTGATGTCTTTAAGGTGGGACATGGGACTTGAGCCAGTCTGTGGTAAACCTGTCTATGGGAAGATGCAACAGCTGCCATGTGTTACTGGCTTGCAGGAGCCTCTAGAACTAAGTCTCATCCTGATTATAACCTGAAATTCAAGGCAGAAGAGAGGGAAACCTTGTAGTGATTTTTCATTATATGCTCTACTTTTAACATAGGACCTTGCTGAGGAGTAGCTGTAGAATAAGTACTTACGTGGTAACATTTTCACTGAGGCTTTAGGTTTAAAGGAGCCTTTTGATAACGTGGTGGCTGGAGATGATTAATATGAATGATTTATGGGGAAAACAAACTCGTGGTTGGTAAGCAGTTTTATTATGAAACGTGGGAAATGGGAATAACCTCTCCTCCTCATTTCCCTCCTTTAGTAAAACCAGGTAACGATATCCTAAAGAAAAAGACACTTAAAAACCTTACTGTGGAAGTGATGAATTGCATGTCAGCAATTAATGCACCAGACTCTGCTGAACACCCATAGCTTTAAACAATGTGTCACATAGCTGCTGTAAAACATACCAATCAAGCTGCTAAACCTTCTTTCTCAGTTTCTATGAACAGATGCTGTTTTGAACAAAAATCTGTGGCTCGCCTAGGTGAAGTGCAGAATGCCAATCTTTGCTGTTATGTCTGTCTTGCAATCCAGGTTTTATGTAACTCAGGCTATGACTTTGACAACTTGTTCTAAACACTGTTCCACTCTTTTCTGTTTCAGGATGGCAGACTAGCAAGCAGTGGTGATGGCCTGCATTTTGGAATTTTAACGTCAGCACCATTGTAATCTGTAGACAGCTGTGGCTAAAAGTGGAAGTGAAACTTCTCTGTACATGATAAACCAAAAAACTAGGAATGGGCTCTCCATATTTTAAGTGGCTGAGATTTCAAGAGGTAGTACTGTTCCTCCATCTGAAACACAAGTTGGCCCAAACACAACCCTCTGTAGGAATAGGTGAGTAAAGAATCACACACTGTTGATTTTTTTGTTAATTTTTGCGCAAATTACATTCTGTATTCATACAAAACCAACGTAACTCTTTGACAAACTGTACATATAGAAACAAGTTTCTGTCTGGAGGTGAACTGAAATCTGTGGAGATATTCCATGTTCCACAACACTTAAAAGGAATTCCAGCTCTTGACAAAACAAGAAAGTGAGGGGAATGGGAGTGGAAAGAACAAAACAAAGCTAGCTACAATATTGCAGCTAGAGGCAAATGACTGATTTAGGAAAAGAAAGACCCTTGTTAGGAACTAATGCACATTCAGTTATCCCAGTTAAGAATCCAGGTTCGTGGCATTGCAGGTGACTGAGTCCAGAGTAGCAGTCTGTTTAAATATTGTCCCACAAGGACTGGGCATGACCCAGTCAAAGCCTCTTCTATCGGCCTCGTCCACCCCGAGATCCTCCTCTCCGGGACTGGCCAGAGTTCATGTTATTTCCTCTTCCCCAATTGCTGCCACTCCTTCCTCCTCGAGAAGGGTTATTGACTCCTCCTGGGCCTCCACCGAAGCCTTCATCCCTGTGGAATCCATCGTGGTGGTCTCCATCTAGAGAACTGGACCTCCCAGATTTTGGTGCTCTCTGTGAAGGTCCTGAATTTCCTCGTCCTGCAAAGGAAGCACAACCAGTTACTGGTGTAAGTTTGAGCTGAGTCTCTTCTCAGACATGCCACGCATTGAGCTGGTTCTGCTGTGGTGTCATCATTCATAAAACAGCTGTAGCTGAGACCTGCAATTTTATGCCTCCACCCTCGGTACAGTTTTCTTATACAGATTTAGTGTCTCCATTACAGCTCAGAAAACAGACAACAATCAAGCAATTCCTTGGGAATTAAAGCAACTTGTATTTGATACTGTCAGCAGTCACTGAAATGAAGTTAGTATAGTGATAGCTTTGCCTCCAAATTGCCAGTTCTTGTGCTTCAACACTATGGTTCTCTCCATGTTTTTATTACAAAATACTTTTTTTTTTAATCCTAAACAAAGACATTGCACTGTTGACAAATTGAGACAGTTGAGGCTGACGGTGAAGATCATGAGTAATATTACTGTTTTGTTCCATTTTCTGCTAAAAATAATGAGAAAATGCTTTATTTTACTACTAACCAGGAACAAAATCAAATTAAGCTCTTACTGCCAGGAATAGAATTTTCTAATTCTCACAAACCTTTTTGGGTTTTGATATGTTTGATATGAACATTAAAAAAAAAAACCAACCCAATTCATTAGCCTAAAATAAGGAGTAGTATTTTGAAAAAACAAAATCAGAGGTAACCTTAAGGACATATACTGTTTTAAGGACACATACTACAGCTAAATTCAGATATTTTTGCTGCACTTTTGCAAGAGTGATTTTTGTTGACTGTGGTTGGTTCCATGTAAAACAGTCACCAAATTGTTTCACAGAAATATTCCTGAAGTTTTAATCTTCAAATGACTTTACCAATACAACTAAAGATGACATAGCCCACATATGAAAAAGTATTGTTCATGGTTTGTTTATCAGGCTTTCTGCCATCATTCTATTATTACGAGTTAATTACTCATTACATTATGAGTTAATTAGCGTACTTGTGCCTGGACAATTGTTTGACTTTAATAAAGAATCTGATAGAGTTATCACAATCATTACTGAAGCTGGAAAAAGTTTGATAGATGCTGGCTAAATTGAGAACTACAGCACGTGGATATGGAAGGAAAAATAGTGGTAGAGAATTTTATCAGCAGAGTTTTATTCAAAACATCTGTAAATGAATGATGAAAGCTGCTGTTAATGCTACACTGGGAACAGAGTCCAGGCAGAGGAGGAGTGACATGCATTTCAAACTGAATGAGCTTTGGGACAATGGTGAGAAAAGTGGGATGGGATTCAGTTGTCGGTGGCACCACAGACAAAGCTGTGCAGTCTAACAACAACAAATTCAGCTGCAGGCTGCCAGCTCAGCATCTGGAAGCAAATGAGGATGCTTGTCACTGATTACTACCTGACAGTGGCTAGTCAATGTGAGGATGTTAAAGAAAGACAATATTTACACAAGAGAACAGAAGTCCTGAGATCTGTAAGAAATAGGATCAAGAATTGGTGTCATGCTAATAGGACTGACTCCAAAAGAATGTTTTGTGGGTTACAGTAGCATGGGACCACTTAGAGGGAGCTACACCACCAGGAACTATTAGGAAAGAATGGAGTAAGTGGAACAAATCCATGAGAAGTGTAGAAATCCTTGGTTACATCACATCTCAAATACTGTGTGCAATTCCTAGTTACCTCAATTAAATTTAGAAAAGGATAATTTAAGAGGCAAACTAGCACATACAGAGTAACAAGGATAGTGAAAGATAAGAACAACTTCTAGAAAGAATAAACAGATCAGAGCTCTGACTTGGAGGAGAGCTGGCTTAGGCTGCGAGTGGTGGAGTTCAGTGCAATCAGAGGTTGGCATTCAGTAATAACAGGAACCAACATTCAACTTAATTCCAAGACATCAAATTAAATTAGTGAATGATAAGCACAGATCAAGGGAAAAACATTTTCCCTCTTTTTTTTAAAGCATATTCTACTGCAATTAAGTTTTAGAGGTGTGTCCGTGGATGTTGTGTATATCAAAAGTTTCTGTGATTCTTAAAACAATTAGAGAAGTACACAAAAGGCAACTAGAAAGCCATTAAATATAAAAATAGTATTTTAGTAAGTCAGATCTTCAGAGGTTTAGGGAACACTTCAGGGACATATCACTCCAGGCTCAATGTTCTTATATTTGAGTTAAAGGATCACATCACAAGCATTAATATTAATAAACAACTATTCTAAAAATGAGGGAAAAAATGCTCTTAATGTGTTCCAGCTGGAGTAACAGGGAACCAAAAACCAACTACTTTTGAACAGGGCAATAAAGAAGGGGATTTTGCAGTGCTGGAGACAAGATTTGGATTTGATGTTTGAAAATCCCTGTTCTTATGTTCCTGTAAGATTGCTCTTTCACTTCCCAGCTGGTAAATTCAAATATTTACCAGCTCAGCTTTATCCCCTCTGAATGAGAGGTTCTGGATAAACTTAATGCTAAAAACACATGCCAGTGTTACTTAAGGGTTCCAATCAAAGGGGGTTTTACCTTTGCCCCTCTCCTCTGGAGGTCCCCCTGGAGCATCCATGTCTCTGTGGTCAGAGGTTCCGGGTCCGTCGTGCCAGGGACGTTTCCGTGGTGGCAGTGAGGCCATGTCCATGCCCTGGAGTGAGGAGGAACGTTCTCTGTTGGCTGGAGAATGCCCATCATGAGGAGGGTGGTCTGGACGAGGACCTGTGAAGGAAAACACAGGATAAGTAATGTTCATTGGATCATCATTCCTCATTCTTGAAGGCAGCCACATAAATTTACAAACTGCCACACTGTTTGAAGTTAAAATTATGTAAAGCTTCTCCTCCATCCCATTCTTTAGTAAAAAAGCTAAAGATGATAGGAAAGAAAAGTGTGGCAGATATAGTCTTTCCAGTATAAAATACTTTCATATACTTTAGAGACAATCACACCTTCATTTATTTTAATTTGTGCTTTGTTTTCCATGACATTCTGCAGCTCTGTCTTGCCCTGTATGGGGTTCCCTTTAGTAACACAACTGCAAATATAAGCTGTCAGACATTGCAGCTGAAAAGATACCAGTACAGAAAAAGATGACTTGACTGTTGGTATTAATATACATGTTAAAAAAACCCCTATGACATGTGATTCAGTCATCCAGAGATGACAACTGCCTGGGCAGTTCTGTACGAGAACACAACTGAAAATCAAGGCTTTGAGGCCACAATTACTTTTATTCAGTAAGACAGCTGTATTTAGAGCCAGTTAAAATTCTGTATAGTTATCTTTTCCTAAATTTAAAAGACCAAAGAACTGCATTTGGCTTTTCTCATGGTAGAATACTGGCAACAAATATATGAGGTGCAGGAAAAAGACATGATTTAAAAAAAAAATTTAAAGTTATTATATTGTAGAAGTCTACAAACCTCATCAAATTTTTTACCTGGTTCTCTGTTTCCATCCCAGGATTCTGGTTTCCTCCCTCCTTCAAAACGTGGGAATTCATCTGGAGTAGGAAGCAAACCCTTCCGAGCTCCTGAGCAGTAAGAGAAGCAGGGGACAGGAGTGAGAAGAGACATTGTACTCATGAAAATAATGTCATCTGCTCAAGAAATGCCTTTCCTTCCTCATGCTTGTATTTCTGTGTGGAAGAACATTCCCCTTACCTCTTGGAGCACCTCGACCTCGCCCCCGAGCACCATGGTCCCTTCCTCTGGAATTTTCATCTGGAGAGTCAAAAGCATCATCTGGCCCAAAATCTTCAGGGCCAGGAAAGCCATCTCTGCCCCTGGGTCCCCGGCCCTCATGTCTCGAGGGTCCTCCTCTCCGGAAGCTACAAGAAAGAACATGATACAAATGTGGTTTTTAGGCATCACTGAGTCAGCTTCAGTTCAATTATCAACTAATTTCTAAACTGTTTCACTTAATGCTACAGCACATACAGTTACTAGAACAGGATTTGTAGGTGGGAAAGTGCTCATTTCTGCCTTTGAGCACTTTGATAGTAAGCTTTGTAAGTTTCCTCTCATATTTCCTTCCACTGATTATGTTGGCATTTCATACAAGACAAATATTATTAAACATACTGCATTCATTTAATGAAAAGGTCGGAAAAACAACCGATGAGTGATGATAGATACAAGGTGAGGTAAGGCAAGGCAAAGTATAAGTGAATTCCCCTTAATTCTGATGGTTTTACATTCCCTTTCTTTCCATTTCTGTGATAAAACAGACTGAAAACAGAAACAATGAGAGTCGTGGCAATAACAAAACATTACAGGATCTCATTCCTATTAATTCTATGATTCTTTTGCTAGACAAATCTCCTTTTCATTCCATTCTTCAAAGATTACAATTTCAGCAAATGCATCTAGACTGCCCTTGGACTTGTAGGCACAGTGATGGCTGAACAGAGCACAGTGGCATTCTGCAACCTGAAGCAGTTTATCCAACTGCAGTAATGAATTTTGTGTAATTATGACCCTGAAGTTGGTAACTGCTGTCTAGTAAGTACCAATGGCACCTTCAGGAATTTGCTACGATTGGGTTCTACACTGCATCTTAACTGAGTACAACTCCTCCAGTGCTGCACTGGGGGGCTTGGAGAGCTCTTCAGAGAGGAAGATGGCTCTTCCTGAGCTGTCAGTGCTGTGCCAGGTAAGCCTGCAGCTGGCTGTGTGAGTAACTAGCAGTTCTGTTCCTGACACGAGCAGCTCAAACACCTGGAGTGTTTGCAAAGCACAGCCCTGCTCTGTGAGGACTGCCTGTCTCAGTCCCAGCCTGCCTGAGGTGTTCAGGTGGTGCCACCACCCCACACTACTCTGCCCACCCTCGGTGACAGCACACACTGTGGAGCCAGCACTCCTTGCCCAGTGACAGATGCCTCCCACCTCCCCACTGCTCCCAGTTCTCTCTGGCTGAACTGGAAGCACCGCAGTGTTCCCATGGTGTTGGCTGTGTGCAGCATCCCCTTCCCCAGCTCATTAACGACACAGTGCATCCTATTACAAGCAAAACTTTAGATACTTTTATTTAGAATTTTAACAACATTAACCTTTTAATTACAAATTTAAATATTTTAACAGTAGTCATAACACAATACAATATTTTTAAACTTTTACATTGTTTTTAATAAAAAACAATAGGTCTGTCTCCACCTCCCAGAAAACAAACACAATACAGAGAGGAGGCTGCTGTGCCTGTACAGGTACAACAGTGGATGGAGGAGTGCTTTGTATGGCCCATGAACCATTTACATTAACCTGGATGGTTTGGGAAAACAAACTCAACAGTTTCAGGTACAAATGGTTCAAATAATCACAGAGCAATATTGTTTAGCCTTAAAACAGCACAGTCCTCTAGAGGTTTCTTAGAGGGCCTCCTGCTTTAATACTGATATGGTGTGATTTGACTTAGCTTGGAAATTACCAAGATTTTCAACACGAGGCCCCAAGGCTGCAGGAACAGGGCCTTTCCTATTTCAGGCAACTCATGAACACAGCTGAGTTTTGAAATCTACGATACCTATGCCTGACACAGCCACAGCTCCTAATATTGTGTTATAGATATCCTTATTTGCCTTTTCATATCAGTCACACATAAAACCCTGCCTTGCATCGGGTTCAGTTCCTGTTTGACTGCTCTCACATCTTCTTCCCCGAGGCCTAGGACCTTATTGTACACAACTACAAACTGTGCAGATTAGCAGGCAGGAAGAGGCAGGTCTCTGCAGTAGAAGCATCATGTTGATATGCACAGGTAGAGTAAGAACAGGACAGGGATGAAAAGGATGGGAAATTAGAGAGAAACACACATACACACATTTGCCTCTCATGCTTGATCAAACCAATTACAATCTCAATTTCAAACCAAGTCAACTAAACTTGAGTGGTTGGGATTAAGTCCACCACAGTATCTGCAGTAAATGGCACCTAGTTCACCTTCATTGCAAGAAAATCATCAAATTTACAAGCACAGTGAGCCCTTTAGAGCCCTGTGCCATTTAATTTTAAACCTTCTGGGCAAACACTTGTACTCTGATAAATAGAATACTCTTAAGATTTACAGGTCACAAGGTTCTCGCTTCCCTTCCTGAAACTTTTTAAAAATCAGGACCATAATAAAATATTTTTCAGTCCCTAAGCATTTTGAATATAAGATTTGAAAAATTTCACTGAGCTTCTAAAAGTCTTGTCTGCTGTGTCTTTTAGAGTTCTGTGATGCAGACCATTGGACCACTGGACCATCCAACTAGGTTTTCTCTGGCTTTACTTTTTAAAAATGGCTTTAATTGTTACCTTCTTTTAGTTACTGTTCATTTCTTTTCATACTCTTCACACAAAAGGAAGTTACCTCTTACAGAGCTAGGTAGAAAATAGCTAAAAGAAGAGCTGTATAGATGCAAAGTAAAAGGAATGTAAGAAAATGATTAAAAAGGCAACTAAAACACACAAAATTCACATTATGTGGAGACCACAGCATATTTGTACAAGCACACATTCTTATACATAGAGGGTTGGTGGTCAGTGAGAGGCATAGACCTTGGAGGCCAAATTTCACTTAATTAAACTAAGGTAAATCCGGAGAAATTTTGCTGATAGTCAATCTCAGAGACAGCATTAACTCCTCCATATTTATATTGGTAACTAAAAATAAATTTATCCCTTTGTGATTTATTCGAAGATTGTGAGCAATGACAAGGACGTTGCTGTAAATTGGATTATTTTTGAGTTCTTCACTTGGCATTAAGAAATAAATCAGAAAGAGAAATAAAATTTCTACAAGCAAACGCATGAAAAAATAGTCTCGACAGTCCAACAGATGCTGTAACTCTGTCCCTTCTATCTGGCAGTCAGATCACTGTTCCTGCTCCTTACAAGGACATTGTATCTCATCCTACAGTCTCTACAGTCATGCTGTAGTTTGTGACTGGAGACAGAATCTCAAAATCCACTTCTAGTGTTCAAAAGTTTGTCACTTTAACCTTTAAGTCTCCTCTCAATTTTCATCAAAACGGTCTCAGATCTTCATCCTGTGTCACTGGATCTTCTCTACAAACTTTCCCCCTTCTCTTTACTTACTGTTTAAAGACATGGAAGCTGCTGTGTACAATGACCATTTTTCAAGTTTTCTTCTATTACTGAATGCTTTTTATGGACTCTATACTCAGGTATATTAGAGTTTTCATTTCCTTATTGGTTTCCAGTTTATAAATCTGAAACAGATAGACTCCTTAATGAAAAGGAAACCAGGAATAAAAGAGTTCCCTCCATTTACCCTTTTACCCAAGGAAGAGAAATGGATTTATTCTTACCTCTCATCTCGCCTTCCTCGGAAGCGTGCATCCTCAGGATCCCGTGGGTATCTGTCATCTGAAGGTCTCCGTCCTTCCCAAGCCCCAGGGGGCCCACGGTTGGAACCACCTCCTTCAAATTCCCTGTGATCAGGAGGAAAGGGAGGCCCAGGTCCACCTCGTCTCCATTTCTCATCTTGCAATGGTGGGCCTCCTCTCCCCTCGAACTCCCGTAGTCGATGGCCAAATCTCTTGTCCGGGTGGAAATCGTCACGGAAGTCGTCGGGGCGATCGAAGTCATCGTGGAAATCGGGGTGAGGTCCCCTCCTGTCGGGCATGCCCCTGCTGTCCCTGCCCTCGCTCCAGTCCTGCCCCCCTCGGAACAGGCCCCTCTCTGGCCCGTGCTCGGGGCCGCCGCTGTTCTGCTCGTGCCGCCGGTCCGACAGCGGGCCCAGGTGATGGTTGGGTGGCCCACGGGCGTCACCTTCAGGGACAAAAACAATCACTGTAACAACTGCTAAATCACTTCAGGATGCTCTGCTTCATACAGTTCTAAAAGGCATATGGGATACATTTCACATTAAACAATATTTCTGGGAAATGTTTTCCTGTATATCCCAGCTCACATCTATGGGAGGTTTTCTCTCAGCCAAGGTGCACTGTGCTTCAGCCTTTTCTCCCTGGGTGCACTCCTTGAGGAGACTGACTCACAGGAGAACAGGCAATACAATTAATTACCTTTATTAAGACCAGGTCCTTGGTTGTGAGGGCCCAGACGACCTTGTCCTCCTTGCTGCCCCAGGCCTGGTATCAGAGGAGGAGGACCCGGGTTCTGTCCATCCTGTGAGCATGTAAGAAGAAAAGCCACGTGAATTGCCATGTGTGAGTAATTAAACATTTTTGTTAGAGTGCAAAACAATTTTCTTTCCATAGAGTCTGCATCTGCACAGGTTGTACAACAGAAACAGCTCATGTTCCAGTGGTTTCAACCTCAATTTTCAGACATTCCTATCAGTAAGGCTCCAGTCACTGAGAACACACCATTTTCTAGGAAACAGCATTTCACATTTTACCTGTTACAGCCAAAGATGATAAAGCTCACATTCTTCCTGAGTATGAATATTCGTAAGAATGTATTGAATTTACTGAGTACTTGATACTAATATTCTATTCCTCTAGATGAGGAAAATGTGTAAATTTGTTTGAAAAATATCAGGCACTGATTTATAGGCAGCTAAAGAGCTTCACAGACCAAAGACTTCATTTGGAAATGAAGAGAAACTACAACTACAAAAAAAGAGAAACTATATATACAAAATAGGGATGGGATGAGGTCACAAAAACAGGGCCATAAGAGAACTTCTTCTCTAAACCTCTCTAAATTGTTAACATGGAAATACATGAGTTTCATTTTTAACGTGATGGCAAAGTTAATTTTTCTTCATTTTAGGATTAAAAAAACCAGAGCGGGCAGAGTTTTGTGTGCTTTATGCGATCCCTCCCAAAAAATAAAGTATATAAGTGTCTTTTGGTATTTTCTCTTATTTTTTGTGAATTTTGAAGGATAAAATAATGATCTTTAAATTCAGCTGCTGTCACAGACTCATGAAAGATTTCAACAGGTACCAAATTGACAGGACCTGCTGTGGTGACACTGGTTGGAAAACTGTGTTTGGATGATGCTCTGATTCTGCTTTTCAACTGCACAGGCCTAACAAAAAGTCATCCTCTGGAGTTTGTGCTTGACTGGAAATGAAAAGGGACATATACAGAATTTACACTGTATTTATAAAATCCAACAATAAAAATATGAACTGAAACCTGCAGGACTGCAATACAAAACCTTCTTATGCTGACATGACCAAAAAGCCAATCCCCCCTAAACCCTTACTAGAAACCCCTAAAAATGTAATTTTTTCCTAGACATGTCAAGTATGCATGATTTAGACTTGGCCTTCACACTGACTTGTTAAAACCCTTCCAGACTGCAGTCTGGAAATACTTAAAGACCTGTTCTCTAGCACACCACTGGGCCATAATTACACTCCTTAACTTCTCCATGAATCAAAGTTAAATAATTTTAATGCTCTAAATTTATTTTGGAGAAACACCAGATAAGCAGAAGGTTTATTTGTGTATTTACCTCATCATATCTTAAAATATTGTTTTAAATTTAAAATTTATATTCAACTGCAATGTCAGTGATAAACACAAAAAGCACACAAATATGTACTACAAACTTCATAGCTGCATTGAGTAATTTTGTAAGAATGTTGGAAAAATAAGCAAAATAGAAAATCTGGCTTAATGCCCATTAGAAAAAAGCAAACCAAAATCCCCAAAAATACTTTCCTAGTGATGGAATGTTGACTTAAGTCCAGAACAAATCCATCCTCTGACTAGGAAAGAGCCAGCTATCACAGTGATTCTGCTGTTCCTGACCTAAACCTTGCTGGAGTTCCAGGATTTCCCATATATTTAGCAGATGCTTGCTTAAAATAAATTTTATGGAACTTCTTCCATTTATGGAAGTGTTTAACCAAAGCAGGAGATTTTAGCACTCAATAAATAATTCTCCTTGGCAGAAACCTTGATTACAAACAAACTGTGCTTTACCAAGCTGGGAACACAACCTTAACTCTGCATTTTCTTGGGATTTTTGTTTCAAAATTCATCCCAGGCCTCAAACTGGGCTTGAACAGAAAAATATGCAGAGTTTAGAAAGAGGTACCTTACTAAAAGCTGAGAATGGCCTTGTGCATCCCAGCAAACCTCTGCTTCCAGTGTACAAGCAGTGCAGGCAACAGTGGTATCTATACAGAGATTAACCCTTACCATTATCTATAACTGTTGTGTAATAATGTCACAAGCCCTTAATAAAACAGATATTCACACACTTCTGCTACTGAAAAGGAAGACAAGTGATTTGTACAAGTTTACAGAAGAAAAAAACCAAACACAAAAAACCCTAAAGTCTACTGTTAAAAAAATAAATCACAGATGGGGCCTTTTTAAACAGGAACTACTGCTGTATTCATATTACAAAGAAGCAAAATAGAGCAAAACATTATGACGTTATGAATTTTAAAATACATTAATTTTAAAAAGCCATTACCATACTAAAGGTGCACAAGGAAAGAAGAATGGTCTAAAATATCTCACTATTTTTTTAGTATCTGTAAAAGCCTTTAAGATAGCAGTATTCAAAGAAAATAAGCAGCCACCTGTCAGAAGCAGCCTATTGAATGTCAATGGCAAGGGCAGACAGGGACAGCCCTCCACAAACATGGGAATTATTCTCAAAGGAAAATGAGTCTCCCTGGGATAGCAATAAGAAACAACTCTGCTGGTCTAAGTTGGGGAACCAACACTTGTTTGTGTAACTTGGATACTTTGGAAATCTCAGCAACAGTGCACACTAACAGCCTTCTGGAGGGAATTATTAATTTCTAAAGAAAAAATATTCAAATAAACCTACAAACTTGTGGGCTACTCTGCTTCAGTCTGAAAGGAATCCCTGTGCTAAAGCTCATTTGAATATTCAGTTCCTCATTGTGATTGGAACTGGACTACACATTAAGTACTCTACATGTGTAAAGCTTTGACTGAAACTATTGAGTGCAGGTCTAAAAGAAACAATTCTGGATAAAAAACACACCACACTTTTTTTTTTAATCAAGTAGGTTTTTTTTTTCCAAACTTCCCTTTCAAAATTCACTTAGAACTGAAGACAATTAAACAAAGTACAGAACTGGTGCCATCCAGCTAGGAACTTATGAGAGGCAATAACCACAGAGAGCTCTGTGTGATGTGTAGTAGAGCAGAAAATGGCAAGTGCTGAATCCCTCTGTATCCCTCTGCACTTAGAGTCACCTGTTAAATGTAACCAGACCTAAGATGATTCCAGGTGTGTCAGCATCTATGGTAAATCCATCCCATAGTCTGGTTTAACTACTCTGGACAACTGAGAGCTCGCAATACCTTGCTTTAATTAGTACATATGACTTTTCTTATGTTCAGTTTCTTTAAATTTGAGTTTTATTAGTCTGCTCCTCAGGAAATACCCCACTTAAGACAGTTCAGTGTCTTTAAATTAAAAAAAAAGAAAAAAAAGAAAAAAAAAAAAAGGAGTTTCTCTTAAGGTTACATATTTTCATAGCAGACTGGTTTCTGTACTACTATTCCCAGTACTCCCTTTCCCACAGTTACCTGTCACAGAATCATGAATAGTTTGGGTTGGAAGTGACCTTAAAGATTTCCAATCCCCCTGCCATGGGCAGGGACACCTTCTGCTGTTTCCAAGCTATAGAACACTTTTTATTATCACTTCAATTTTCCTGAGGCCTCAGTCCTGCAGGAACACCCAGCCTCCATTCCCTCAGCCCCTGCTGTGTATTTCTATTGCACAGACAGTTATTATTCCCACATTGTGAAAGCTGCTCTGCTCCAAAGACCCCCACGTACCTGATTGAAGGGGGGACGAGGCCCGTCCCCCAACAGAGGCGTTTTCTGCTGCTGGAAGGGCAGAGGGCCCTGGGAAGGATGTGGCCCCCTCGAAGGGTTGGGCTGTCCCTGAGGTCCTTGCATGTTTCCTTGAGGCCCCACTAAAGACCCTTGTGGAGGTCCCTGCTGGCCCTGGGGCCCACCGGGTGGCCCACGCATTTCTTGTGGCGGTCCCAGCATTGAGCCTTGAGGAGGGGGTCCCTGAAGGCCCCGCATCTCTTGGGGACCGTGTCCTAGTAAACCACTTTGCATATGAGGACCTCTCATTTCTTGTGGATGACCCATCATCATCCCTTGTGGATTAGGTCCCTGGTTATCTCTGGGTCCTGGTGGACCCTGCATCCCTCTTGGATTAAGTCCCATCAGAGGCCCTTGAGATATGGGGCCCTGCATCCCTTGAGATCCCGGAGCTCCTTGCATGCCGTGAGGAAGAGGTCCTTGCATTCCTCGTGGACCAGGTGGCCCCTGCATTCCTTGACCTCCGGGGGGACCCTGAGGACCCAAGTGACCTTGTGGGCCAGGTGGGCCCTGTGGTCCTAAATGAGTCTGAGACCCAGGCAGGCCCTGCGGTCCCAAGTGTCCCTGGGGGCCGGCATTACCCTGTGGACCTGGGGGCCCCATTGGCCCATGAGGGCCCGGATGTCTCTGCATTCCTTGATGTCCATGTAAATCCTGAGGCCGTGGCATTCCTTGTGGAGGCCCTTGGGGGCCTGGAGGTCCTTGTGGTCCCATGAACCCTTGTGGACCTCCAGCTCCTTGGTGTAATGGACCTTGAGGTCCTATTTGTCCTTGGGGTCCTGGAGGTCGGAACTGTCCTTGTGGACCAGGAGGTCCCATCTGAGGCATATTCATTGGCATCTGCTGAGGTGGAAGGGGCTGCTGAAACCCTTGAGGCATCTGTGACATTGGGCCTTGCCCTGGGAAAGGCTGAGGTCCATGGAGAGATCCTCCTGGGGGCGGTGGCTGCACTTGCTCAGCTTGCTTTTGTGCAAGTCTCTCAATTTTCAGTTGCTGTCCAAAAAAGAGACACAGAAAATCAACTAAGCACAGAAGTATGTTACAACTAAAAATCAGAAGCAGTCATGCCATTTCACAGGAATTTAAGAATGCTGTTCTTGTAATTAACAGAAATAACTAACTAAAGAGAAATAACTAACTGAAGAGACCCACTGGTAAACTGAGATGTGGGGGCCTCACTGAGGGTTTCACATCATCATGCATTCAGTGCAATATCCTGTTCAATTAGATGCCTTCTTCTAAAAAGGTGAAAACAGCCAAACAGGTGAAACTGCTGCAGGAAGCTGCTCACTTTAGTGCTGAAGTCCAAATCTGTCATAGAAAGGACTAAAGCAAACCTGTCAATCCCTGTGCTTCCATACATACCTCCAGGAGTTGTGGGTTTGTGTACTGAAGTGCTGCCATTTCCTGCTCAATCTCTGCCTGTGATTTCTTTTTCTCCTCCAACTTAATATCCTCCTTTCTATCATTCAATGGCTCAGGTGGGGGAGGCAAAGGAACTTTATTTTGCATCCATGCCTATAAAGATTAGGAAACACAAGATTAATTCTGTAGAACAACGTGTATTCAACAGAAGAAAGGATATGCTGAAACATTTTGTAGTATGGATACTTGAAAGTAAAAACAAGGCTGAATAAAACTTCTATATTTTACAAGTTCTTCCCAGGTACAGATACAAGATAGAAGGTATTTAATTAAATATATTATGTTTAAATAGTAATTAAACTAGCTACTGTGGTGAATTGCACTGGGTGTTGATACAGGAGAGCTGATACCGAAAATCCAAAACATTTCAAAAGACACACACTTTTTGAAACTGAGAAAAGAACAGGTTGTTCTGTTCACTGTGTATCAGGTATTTACCTGCTGAAACTGTGCTGGTATTGGTTTTGCATAGGGAACTTTTTTCTGTGGCACTTTCTTTTGGTCCTTTTGCATTACTTCCTCCATTCCCCAATCCAGTCCTGGGATTGTCATTTCAATGTCATTGGACTCATCTTTCCCTTTGGCACCAGGGAAACAAACAGTCAGAGCAATGCAGGCTTACACAAAGATCTTTTATTTTTTTCACAGAGGTTTTCAGCTCATCCTTCTTTACATGGCAAACATGCACAATACACAACTTTAGAAAAGTGCATCTGTGCTCCCAAAGAATATGAAAAGAATGAAAAAGAAGTCACAGAGTATCTGGATTGCTCAGGAGAATGCTTCCCCATAGCTATTACTTACCCATCTGCTCCTGCTCCATGGCTATTTTCAACTGTTCAGGTATTCCCATCCCAGGAATAACTGCCAGGCTGTTGGGCTCCAGATCATCTAGAGAAAAAATACAATAAATCTTTATATTCGGAAAATTGTTCTTTGCGTTACTATTTCATGCCTTTGGATTCTCACATGCTTTACCATTAGCATCATATTCCAATAGTAAATAGATATTTTACAATTGGTAGGTCACAATTTCGTTTCATATATGAATTACAGGATATTAAAAGAACTGCAAGTTCAGATTCATAAATACACCCCAAAAGGTCACAAACTATGTCCTTTCAGAAAGATTACATTTAGGGTAGAAGCTCAGAAAAAGAAATAATAAACTATAACCAGTACTATTTTTGTTATAACAAATCTCTATATTTTAAAATTTAACTTGTATTTAACTTGTATTAAAGTGCTGAATTTTAATTCTCCCCTCCCCAAAAAACCCCAAATAATCAAAAATCTGAAGAAACAGATGCAACTACAGGTGGCTGAGGCACACCATGGTGCTGGGCAATCCTGAGCAGCCTAAAGTTGTTGAGATAACTCCTTAAGCATGGAGTAAAGTTTAAAGGTTTTAGTGGAATTCTTATTGCTTCTCCTGTTGCAGTTCAGGAGTGTGGGAAGCCTTGAAAACAGATGAAGCTTTCAGGAAGAAAAGTAAACTGGAGATATTGCCAGAGGGAGAGCCAAACCTCCTTCCTGTGATTGACAGAGCAGGTCTTACCTCCTGGAGCTGTGGAAACAGAAGAAAACCCATTGTTGGAATGATGATCACTGATAACACAGGCAGTAAATTCATCCTTAGAAAAATGTATTTTTGCCCAAGTGCTCCCCAATGCTATAATTCTGCTTCCTCACCTTACCCAGAAGTGTCACCATCTAGGCCTGTTCCTGACCCCAATCCTCCTCCTTCCATATTGAGGAAAAATGCCTTACCATATTCCACACCATCCTCTGACATCCCAGGCAGCAGGTTCAAGTTGTAACGATCTCGCATTTTATCTCCAGGCCGATTCCTAGTCCAAAACTTGCTGTCAAAAGGAAGTTATGTGATCTCATTAAAGGGCCAAGAGCAATACAGCTTTCAATCTAATTAGTTATTTGATTTAGAGTATAGTATCTTGATTATATAAGGATTCAACTCTTACTAATAAATCAAGTTCAGCTCTAGATCTGAACACAGGGTATGACTTCAAGCCAAAAATAAAAATCCCAGCAAGTTTTGTAATGAATTACATAGTTACAAGTTAGAAGATACTTCAAAGTGAATGGGTTTAAGTACAAGGCATCAACATTAGATTCTGAAAAGAAATTTTTCTAATCCATTCCAAAACCTTCTTGCTCAAGTATGTTCTTCATATACCCTAAATATACACATGCTCCCACAAAAATTTACTGTACTGTTTATAGCATGTCCAACCTAAAAACACAAACTCCAGCCTCTGAACATGTCTGCAATGTGAAAAGACATGACCAACAAATGATCTGCAGGAAAAACTGCTGTGGATATAGGAGTATTTCTTCAGGAAGAAACGGCAAGAATTCTTCTTTTAAACATTTCTTCAGTGGATTTCAAAGCTCCCACCAACCATAATCGTAATATTTGTTACAAGAATCAGACTCTACCTTGTAACATAAAATGTCAGTGCCACCTAGTGCTTCCTATTAACATTAGTTGTGTCTCTGCTTTGGCCACTGGCTGTGTAACAGAACCATCCCAATCTATTTATTCATTGATGCCAAATGCTGTTCTAGTTTCTAAAAGTAAATACATTCCCTCAGACCTTCTCTTTAAATACTTTAAATTACCTGGTGTGATCATTTGAGCCTGAACACAGAATGTGTCCGAGGGGATGCCAAGCTAGACTCCAGATCATTCCTTCATGGGCCATTTCCATTCCACCAACCTCCTTCTCAACCCTGGTACATTAAAAAAAGATTAAAATTAATCATACACAGTTGAGTATCTCCTACTACAATAGAAAACTTCTGCTATTCAGTTGTTGTTCATCCTCTAGCCCATATTTTGTCAAATTTTCTATTGGGTGAACTGCTTAATGGGGACATGGTTTTAATAGGCTGTTCAGTAATGTAGGGATTTTTAACTGAACCTTTAAAACCAAAATAATTACAGCAGCTCAGAACAAGCTTTAAGAAACTGGGACTTTCAATCATTCATCACCATCTCAACACATGGCTGGTTTTGTGCAAGCAATTGTATCCTTTAAAGCACTTTTCTACAGGAAAACTTCATAAATGAAGCACATTAACAAATTCCCCATGTACAGAGAAAAACTATTATTCAGGTTAAACACAGATCCAAAGGGGTAAAGAGGTATTATATGTTATGTCTAACAGCTTGCACAGCTGACCAACATCTTTCCAACGTGCTGAAAATGCCACATACCCAACATGCCAGAACAACAAGGAGCCATCAGACCCTCCACTGGCAAACAGCCCTTCGTGAACAGGATGCCAGGCCACAGCTGAAACACACAGTAAGCCACCATCAGAAGGTGCAATACTAGGATTTCTAATGAATGGAAATAATTAGAATTCTTAATCTAAGCTCAATAATAGCAATCTACATAATAAAAAAGAATTATGACCTGTGGCCTCTTTCTTATGACCCCTGAAGACCTGAAGTTCTTCTTTCAGGTTCCGGATGTCGAAGAGTTTACAGAGATGGTCACGAGAAGCTGTCAGCAGCCAGTTGCCATTGAGATTCAGTTTCACCTCCATCACTGTGTTTTTGTGAGCATGTCTGCAAGCAGAGAGAAACAGAAACAGACTGTTTGTCCTGCAACTGATTTCTCAGACACAGATAAAAATACGTCATTTGCCAGTCACAAATATTCAGGTCAATAGCAAGGCAATTCAGGCTACTAAAGCAGAACACTGAGGCTTTCTGTGCAAAGGCTCTATGCTTTGATCCTGGTCTTTTGTACTGCAAAGCAACTGGTAGCACTCACTGAGACAGTATCCAGTTACTGTGCATGTTTCTACTGCAGCATAACAGAGTTTTCATCAGCCAGATGAAATACATCATTTGTTTTTCCCTATCTCAGTCTGAATGAGAACTGTGGGACTAGATTGTCTGTGAAGAAGAACAAAGGAAACTTAAATAACAAATATTAAAGTCTCAATTTTCCAGGTACAGACTTGTCTTCATCTAACCTCTGGATTTTCTGGCACAGCTAAAGTACTAGCTTCATGTTTGAAGCAACTGTGTATGGCTGAAAAGTTTTGAGGAAAAGAGCTAAGAAAAAATTATTTTATTAAGTTAGCTTATATTTGAGCAAATCAAAAGTCTATGGGTAAGAACTTACAGTGTGGCAAGGCTCTGGCCAGTCTTTGGATCCCAGAACTTGATGGGCTGTTGGCTATCTTTACTTCCTGAAACAACTAATCCCTTTGTGGGATGCCAGTCAACACATTTCACATCTGCTCCATGGCCTGTTAAGAAGATAAAAATTGTCCATTCTGAGATTTCACAGACACTGAAAAATTACAGAATGCACACCTTATAACTAATGTAAAACTGAATGGAAAACATCACAGAGCACAGGTTACAAAACATAAACTAAATAAAACCTCTTCCAAGTTATTTAGCTTGCCTTCCTTCCCACTACTTAATGGGAGCATTTTTTCCTCAGATTATGCCCTCAAATGAAGCTCACTGGAAAAATGATCCAAGAACTTTCTGTTTAAATTGGTACTTGTCTTTAGGCTTTGGCCTTATACAACTTCACAGTATTTTAAATGTAGCAACTGATGGAGCATTTATATGGAGGTGGTGAGGTAAAATGATTCTGTGACACTTCACTTTCAGTAGAAATATAAAGCAAATACCTATTTGTTCCTATCCTATCAGTACTATCCTTTTGCTGTCCTATCAGAAAATAAGCAAAGAAATTATGTCATGGATCTGAAAACTAAATTAGGATGTGATGAAAAGAAACTTTATGAGATGTGATCTCTTACCAGTTTACAGGGATTCAGGTTTTCCCAAGGCTCAAGAGTCAGCAAAGAAAAACCCTTGTGATATAATTTCCTTTTAAACTGACTGACCTTGAGAGAGAATGAGTGCTGTTCAGATGAGCTAAAATCCATTAAAAAAAACCCCAAAAGGCCTGTTCCTGCTGCATGACAAAATGAGATTTTTGAGGTTAACTAAGGGAATTCAGAGAAGGAATAACAAACAATAATTTCTTTCTCCAGTCTCTCTCCACACCAGCCCACTTCAAGGGAGGGCCAACGGTAATAGTCCATCCCAAAAAATGAGGCAGCATGCAGTAAATGAAGAAAAAAGCAATTTGAGACAGGAGGGTCTGCCTGCAACATGAAGGCACTGAAGTCATAAATGGCATGGAAGAATGGGAGCATGCTCCAGTAAAGACTAAAAGTTCCCATCAAGTCAGACAGCTCCCACACTGACTGCTTTGCTACACAGTGCAACATGGAAATTTAAACAGCACAAGCTGTCATAACACAGATCTCACTTTGACAAGACATTAAAAATAAGTATTAGTCGAAATTTTCCTGAGGCCACAGAAAAATCAAATTAGAATTGATGCCTTTCTGAGCCCTGAAATCACAAGCCAAAGATTAAAAGGATAAAAGCAGTTACTGTTTATTGAAGGATCCTTCAGGTGCACTTACAGCAGAATGCACAGCACAATGCATATGTGATAGGAGGCTATGACAATTTTATAAGTTCAGCAAATTAGCATAATTGACAAGAATCCCCAATTAAACGTACAGTTAATGAAGTAATTCCCCCCTTGGTTCTGCCTCCTACTGAAGCCACCCTCCTTTCTCCTATCCTCACATTGTTCATGTCTACATACATGGGGAAGAATGGCCCTGGTTCACTGAAGAAGTGAGATTAGAATGGGATTCCAGGCATGTGTCTGTCTAACAAATACTAGCTAACAAACTATATTACTGTAAGAGTCTCCAGAGCTACAAATATATAAAACTATATAAAATGCAAAAATCTTTTGGCATCAGAATAAGGAATATATTTGTATCTTAAAATAGAAGCAAATTGATAACACATAGAGCACACTCAAATGAGTGCAACTTTCCTCTTCTCTGGAGGAAAGGACAGATAGGGAAGAGGTTCTTGACCAAAGAAGAAATGAATCCTGCCTTGACAAGCATATGGGGACAACAGTAAGAACTGAGTGACAATATAGATGAAGGAACCCAACTCCTTTCCAGCCACAGCAGGCAGAATTGCCTTTGGAATAGGTGGGGTTTCAGGGAAGAGAAAGATCCTCAAGTTGCCAAGACCATCAGTGTGCTCTGGTCTGGGCTGCCAAGAGAGAGGCACTCTGAGATGTAGTGTTTCCTTTCTCTCTGGCTTTTCTAATGCAGAAAGAAGTGACAGGCACTGCATTTGCTATGACTAAATCTCTCGACTAAGACATGAAGCTGAATGCCCAACAAATCTTGCTTCCCAGTGTTTGTTTGGGAGCAACAATTCAGGCAGGAGTAAGGGAGAAAGTGTTCCTCCTCCACAGGGGAGGGGAATCCATGCTTGCAGATTTCCAACTAAGGATATTCTCTAGGTAGTTGCTATCATGCAGTCCCCAGGGAGAGATTTTAATTCTAGACCCTTATAGAAAAACACTCCATTAAAGTTAATGCTTGGTTGAACCATATGAAAATGTGTTCAGACTAGAATGCTTGAGTACCATCATAGATATATGAAATAAACAAAGCCCAGCAAAACCATAAAAATCTGCTACCTGCATGGATTAGAGTGCCATTAGCACTGCTGCTCCTGAAATAGACAATTAGCAATGGAAAAGCACAGGGAGACACAGGGCTAACTATGCTTAATGGAAAAGATTGCACCCAGAAAAGAAGTGATGCTGGTGAAAGGCCATCTCTGGGTGACAGCTCAATCTGTGCAAAGCCCTGGTTTAGGCTCTTCTTGAGTTAAGCCAGCCCAAACACAAATATGTACCCTGAGAAAAATAAGGCTTAGAATGGGCAGGGTTTAGAATTAAACAGAGCAATTGAAGTACCCATCCTTTCAAAGTCTTTTCCAAAGGGAGAGGCAGTGACAGACAGCACTGGGCTGACAGGCTTCTGAGATGGGCCCAGAGCACAGAGCTGAGAGGCAGGGGAAGATGCCAGCACACTCAGAACTCGTACCCAGAGCACATACACCATTGGGTACTGATCAAAAGGCTTTTGGCTATCAGCACATTAAGACTGCTCACGGGGATCAGAAGAAACTTATAATATTTAAAAACATAATCGTTATAATTTTTGTATGATTAAACAGGTCACTGGCATTTCCTGCAGAGAGCATTCTTTCAACCATTGCACTGTGGCTTACTGGGATCCTCCTTTGTAATCTAACCCTCAACAGAGCCATCTCAGCCACAGCTCTGCAGAAATGGCCTCATCACACACTTAACTTTAGGTTCCTAATGCAATTAAGCTTTCTCAAGAGAAAATAAATGTTTCCCTACAACAACTATGCTTTAAATAAACTATTCACAAGGGACAAACTAACTCAGAACATTTACATCACCAAAATAACTGAATAGCATCATCTAATCAGACCTTTCTTAATTTCTTTTAAAATTGAAGCAATTGACGTTGTATATTGCTTTTCCTTCTTTCTGCTGAGAGATTCGCACACTATTATCTGTAATGAGACACATGGTGCAGAAAATACATTTAAAACAAGATTCCAGGGAAAAAAATCACCTCACAGATTTTATTTCACAGTTGTTTTCAGTTTTTAGTGTTGGGAATCAGCCTCTCCTCTGGTACAAAACCCCCTTGTCCCCAAACACCAAGCTCAGAAAACCTTAATTCATGCAAATCTCTGCAGTTTACATTCCCTGTTTGCTGACAACAGCTTTTGCTCAGTAATTTCAACAGTCACACACACACATATCTGCCTCTCTGCTCCGAGCTCCAGGGTGAGAATTCCTCTCTGAACAGCTCCTGCTCCTTTGCATGGACCTTATTATCAACTCCCTGTCTTACAGGGATGCTTTATGGATAAATGAATTGAAATGTGTGAATTGTGTGGGAGGTGTGACAATGGAAGGCCCATAAAACCAACCAAAATGAAAGACTGAAGGCAAAGATTTTTGAGAAACCCAACTCATTTAAAATCATGAGTGAATATCTGAGCATAAACCTACATACTAACACTTGTTGGTTTTACTTACTACAACTTTTTCCAGCCATGAAAGAAATTGCAGAAAAACAAAGGCACATGCAGCACCTTTAAAAAGCTCAGACACAAAAGTAATTCCTTACTATTACCTTTCACTTTCATAATAAATGGTTTGAGTGCCCTTAGTCACAATCCTCTTAATTAATTAATACTTAATACTTAATTAATACTGATTGTTAGTACTTCTAGCCAATTTCTTGGAAGGGTTGTTCTTTAAAAGACACTGAACAGAAATCCTGGCCAGTTAAAGACATAACAAGCTATAATTCAATTATGTGTAATGGTATTTGATCAAGTACATCAGAAGACTGAAAAGTACACATAAATTAAGGACATGATTTTTTTTCCCTCCTCACACTAATTTCTGCAATTATGACTTTCTGAATATAGCTTACAGTGTAAAAAAAAGCTGGTTTGAATCACTGTCTCTATATTACAGTCTATAAAATATCCATATTTTTTATAATGCAATTGTGTATAGCAATCAAAGACAGATCAGGTTTATTGCTGCAGCTTTACTTTTCTGTTTTATATTCTTTCCCCATGGGATGTGCCCCATTCTGAATGCACATAAATTCAAAGAGAATTGTACAGATTATACTGGAAAATTTCTAGATCCTTCTCAGCAGTTATGTGAATGTACAAATACAGACTAAGATGCCAGTCTTAAAGCATCTTCACACTTTAATACCCACGTTCCAACAAAAATGGGTATTTATACTTATTTTTATTTTAAAGAATTAACAATCATTTAACTGCAATGATACTGTTTCTCATTTAAAATTCTCTTTGTTTGTATTTTTTTATGCTGTTCTAAATGAGGAGTAAACAGAGTTGTGTGTCCCCCACCCAGCCTGGCCAGATCAAAGCATTTTTGTCACCACACAGTGACATTCACGTTCCTGTACTGTGTCCCCAAAACAACACCACACCTCTCAAAGAGCAGGACCTTTGCACTGGATTATTTCCAAGGGATCTGCAGAGAAGTATTGGATCATTAGATCTTACAACAACCAAGCTAAGGTTCTCCACCCCCAAAAAAGAGAGGGCAAGGAAGAAGGGACAGAAGAGAGACCTGCCAGTCAGAGATAATGGAAACAACATTTGCAGAAAGGAATTCTAAGTTTTCTACATAATTCCATTTGAATTTACTATTTGCTTCCAGCCTATTAGGCAAATTGGATTATTCTGCCTGTTCCATTTTTATGAAAGGCTTTTAAAATGTCACTTGGCAGTCATCCAC